AAATACGCATGTGTGTAAATTTTAGTCTTTTATCTCAATTCGTTCAAAAGATAGTGGGATTACAACAGACTGATAGACGGATATAACTAAATCGATTTAGAATTTTTTATTTTAAATCCAGGTTGGTGGAGGGTATAACAACTATTTTATGACAAACCTCCCTATCTCGAAAATCCAATTAAATTTTCCATAAAATAGCCCCATTCAATCAATCAAGGACCTACTCCCAATCACTTCAACCTGATTTCTCAAATCTAATGATGAATTTTGAAAACCAAACTTAAAAATTACGAACAAATCTTCAACAATTTTACAAATAAAATGCAAAAAAGTATAACTATTATTGTGAGGAGGCAAACTCTAAAAAAAAATCAGCAGCAAAAAAAAGCAAACTCCACAAAAATTCAGCAAAGTATAAAATTGTAATAAACATCACAAAACACGTAACTTCTAAGAATTATTTTTATTGCCATTCCATGGCACAGTAGTAGCGTCGCAAGTAAACGAAGCACAAAAAGCTTATCTCACAACAAGAGATCTAAATTTCAGTAAGAGAAAAAAAATTAGTTTTTTTTTTTTATTTGGCGGTTTGTACGCTAAGTTTTTTTTTTCGTATTTTGAGGCCACTTGAAGAAACTCACATTAAAAGCCGCACTTTTGATATGAAAACTGGCAACAACCACAATGCCAGTGGGCTAGGCAGCTTCAAAAAAAAAAAAAAAAAACTCCATCAGTATCTATGAATACCAAAGCAGAAGAAAAAGCGAACTACTAAAAACACCAGAGAAGCGTAATAAACAAAGCAATAGCATTATTTGAGCAAACACTTCTTTTTATGTTTTTGAACTGGCATTTGAAGGTGGACAGACATTTGGACAGTTGGATGGATAAAATAGATGGACTCAAAGATGTATGAAAAAAAAACGCAAAACAACAACAATAAAAAATGTTTATAAAAAACAGTGATCTGCCACTCATCTTTATAAAATATAAAGATGAGTGGCAGTGGAATGAAAATATATATGATCGAACATTGAACAGTGGAAGTTAACTTAAATAGCACTTGATTTAAATAGTAATACAGTAAATTAAATTAGCTGCAGTTTTTAAAACAGAATTTAGAATTTTGCGGGGCCGTTCATTGTTCCCTAATATCGGTTTCTAAAAAAATATTTAAAAAATGCCTATAAAATAAACTTTGCCTTTTATTTGCCCACCCCTGTTAACAGCTGTTGGCCATTTGAAATGCCTTAATAACAAAAAAACCGCCCCTTATTTTATTTTTCTGCTTTGTTTTCGTTTGCCTTTTGAAAATATGCGTTCACGCATGCGTGTTAAATAATCATTTTTCTCTTGTCTGGTCTTTTCAAAAAAAAGTGTTGTTATGAGTCTTATGCGGATATATTAGCTGGTAGAGGCTAACAATAAAATGAGATCATTTCCTATCAAAAAATTACTTTTCAGTTTATGAAGGGTAATTAAGGTTTACTCTAAGGCTTAGACCAATGATGCTCACAATGTATGCATTAGTAGTGGCAGGAGACTTTCTTACCCTTCGATGTTTTGAAAGTTGTCATTCCAAAGTAAACTAAATTGAGGGGCAAGTTCCTGCCTTTTTCCAAATTTAAAGAAATTTTCAGATTTGTATGCCATGGAATCCTTGCATGGCATCTTCAGCAATATTGCAGATAAAAACACGGGTATTATTTTGATTACAACTTTTAAACCTCAAGTGAGCCAACAAAGGGGACTTTTTGGTGTTTTTTTTTTCAAAATATGGTTAAAAACTCCCTTTAAACGGTATCTTATCAGGTCAAAATATTCTACAAATTTATTTTTCATACATTTCTACAATAGGTCGTAGAAGACGTCAAAAGTCTTAGTCTCACCAAAAACACCAGAAATACATACATATATTAAAGAGAGATTTTAGGGTTAAAATCGTACTTTATGTGAGCTTATGCAGAAAGCTCCCACAAAGCATGACTTAAGAAAGATGACGACAAAGACAAAAATATTCGCCATCAAATTTCAATATAAGTCTCCAAAGAAAATAAATCTCTATTTCCATTGTATATCTCAAAAATATTTGCATCAGTTTTACCAAAAAAAAAAAAGCCTGAAAATATTTTCTAATTTTTTACTCTGACATATTTGGAGTTGACGCCTGAAAGTAACTGAAAATTTCATTTTTGAACAAAGGTACCAAAGGAAGAAATATTCTACACTAAATTTCACTATATATCTCAGACATAACCATACATCTAGATACAATAGTTTTGTAAGAAAATTACATACCGAAATTTATGTACTACAGGTAACAATTATGTATTTGCTTTTTTATACTGTTCATTTAACATGTTTTCTAACCAAGTCAAAATCTCCCTAAATTCTCCATATTTTGGAACAAGTGTCAAAGGAAGAATTAATCTAGATTGAATTTTATCGATAGCCTCTGAACGAAAGAAATTTATATATTTAATGTGTACCATGAAAAAATATCATAAATTTCACACTTATTTCCAAATTTTAATTTTAGATTTTTTTTGAAGGTCCTTTTCTTATTTTCTAGCGGAAGTGGCAATAATTTGATATTTTAAAATTTTTATGGAGAAAACACATTACCGCAAAAATGGTTCGGTGTAGACCAAGGCTTAGAAAGTGTAACCTTATAAATATATACCGCAATTATTGGTATTTGAATGGTCCTAGTGACATTTTCCTCCTAAATAAGCTTAAATTAGGTGTTAAGGGGGGCTTAACCAATAGAAACATATTTGGCCTGGGCAGAATCTTACCCATAATTTTAAGGATTTTGGGGATATGTAAGTTGTCATATGATGGAGAGTACTTTGGGTTCGGAAAAAATTTAGTGTTCCTAGGGAAAGTTAAGCCAAAGAAAAGAAAGTCAAAGCTATCCCCAAATTCTTAGGAATTTCGAAAACAAATAATTTGGCCATAATTAAAGTTTTCGCCATGTGGTAAATATTATTTGATTCAATCAAAAAATGTCTCATCAAAAAAACGGAGTGTATAAACTAATTCTCTTTGGACGAAATCTATTTTAGAGCTCCTAGAGACTATCGCAGGTACACTCTAATGTTTTTTGTCAAAATTTAATCTAGTTCGGAGTATCGTATCGATCTACACTGTCTGATACCTTCCCTTTCAAAGAAAATATTTGACCTAATGTTTTGCCGATGTTAGAGCAAATGTGAGAATGGAATACGAGTATATAGGCCCATTCATTCCGATACGATAAAAAATATAAATCTAATTTTGACCGAAGGGAGAAATATTTTGACCGGAGGGAAACAAGTAAAAAATCTGTAAGTTCGGCCGGGCCGAACTTCGAATACCCTCCACCATTTGGAACGAATTTGACAATTTTCAAATATATAAAATCCGTGAAAAATATGGTTAAAATCTTAAAAATACCGAATGTAGCCGTTATGTAAGGGTCTATACGATAACGTGGATCTGCATAGGCAACTTTTGTCATAAGCCATTACAATATTCAAATGCGGAACTTGAAAAAAATCGGTGAATAATGCATCTAAAATACCGAATATAGGGAGGTGCCGTTATATGGGGGCTATACGAAGACGTGGACCTGCATAGACAATTTTCTGTCATAGGCTGTAGTATCCATTACGAACTTCAAATACCAAATTTCAAACAATTCCGGTGAATAATATCGCTAAAATCATCAAAATACCGAATTTAGGGAGTTACGGTTATATTGGGGCTATACGAAGACGTATACTTGCACAGACAATTTTCTGTCTTAGGCTGTAGTATCCACTACAAACTTCAAATAAGAAATTCGAAGCAATTCCGATATGTAATGCCGCTTAAATTATCAAAATACCGAATATAGGGGGGTGCCGTTACATGGGGGCTATACGAAGACTTGGACCTCCACAGACAATTTTCTGTGTTAGGGTGTAGCATCCATTTCGAACTTTAAATACCAAATTTGAAACAATTCCGGTAAATAATTTCGCTAAAATCATCAAAATATAGAATATCGGGAGGTGCCCTTATATGGGGGCTGCACGAATACGTGGACCTTCATACGCGATTTTTTGTTATATGCTGTAGAACCCATTACGGACTTCAACTACGAATTTTGAAACCATTCCGGCTAAGAATGTCGCTAAAATCATCAAAATATCGTATATCGGGAGGTATCGTTATATGGGGGCTATATAAAAACGCGGACCTGTATGTGTGATTTTTTGTTATAGGCTTTAGTAGCCATTGCTAACTTCTACTACGAAATTTGAATCAATTTCGGCTAATAATTTCTAAATTATCATCAAAAATCATCAAAATAACGATATAAGAAAACGCTATCAGAGACGTGGACCTATATCTACCAATTTAACCTGCCTACTGGCTATATACACATGTGTGCAAAATTTTAGCCTTCTATCTCAATTCGTTCCAAATATAGCGTGATTACAACAGGCAGACGGACGGACAGTAAGACACACACACAGACGGACAAAGCTAAATCGACTTCGAATTTTACGCTGATCAAGAATATATATTCTTTGTTGGGTCTGACATGAGTATTTCGAGGAGTTACAAACGGAATGACAACGTTAATGTAACCTTCATAATATGGTGAAGGTTATAATAATGGGTCATTCTTAAAAAATCAGTAAGATACTTATTTTTCTCATTACCAAGTAATAAGTAACGCGTGCGAGTCCGAGTAAAAATCCAAAGGTTATGAGCAGTAGTCAAAACAACAAATATTTTCTTCTACTTCGGGAGACTTGCTCTTGTAAAAATTATGGTCCAGTAAATTGATTTATAAGTAGTTACGATCGCCAAAAAATCGGCGAGGAAACCTATTACTTCGTAATGGGTATTTTCGCACATTTCCCACTTCATCATATTTTAATATCTTAAGACCTCCTTTAAATGGGAAATCTTCCCCTGGCTGATTTTTCATTCTTTAATTTATTTTCTCCCTCATCTTTACTTACCCTAAGTTCAGCTTCCATTTGATTTGTGTGGCCGGCTAAATTCGGGAAGGCGGTCATATTGTAACCCACACCATGACAAGCAGAGACCGCAATACGTTCACATTGTAATCCATTGGGGGTTAGGTGGATGGTCGCCGAAGTCAGCTGTTGGTGATGATGGCTGCCACCGGTTAAGGGCAACGAAAGTTTAGAAGCCTGACTTGAGCAGGGCAGAAGTATTAAAAGGCCAGCAAATAGGGCAACCATTAGCCGCATTGTGGAGATTTTAATTGGCATTTTTTGTTTTGTTTTCTTAGAATTTTTTAGAATTTTTTTTCTTTTAAGTAATTATTTTTTTTTTAATTTTTTTAACACTTGATTCTGCACTCCTTAATGGCCATCATCTAAAGGCCTAATTTTGTTGTTATTGTGAAAATAATTATTATTATTTCTTTGTTATTGTTGTTGCTTTTGGCTAATAATTTCTTAAGTAAACACAAGGGGCATGATTGTTTAATATTCTCTATTGCCTTTTTATTTTTGCTCACACAGACGCACTCACACCCAGAGATCGGTATTTTCTCAGATCTTCTTTAATTTCATAAATAAACAAAACCCAGACGAATTCACTTTGAACTACTCGGCATTCAATTTGTTTTTTTTTTTTTTTTTTTGGCCACACCGCACACCCGGCACTTATTCCACACGTTTTATGGGGTTTTGGACAAGTTTTCCCACTTTTCTTTTTGTTTTTCTCGTGGCTCGATTAGACTACGGCGCGCTAGGTTAAAATTTGTTGCTTTGATATTCCTATTTCCAGAGGCCAAACGTTCGGTTCGTTCATCATTGGCAGCATCAAAAGATTTCGTTTGATGTTCTTGCTTGGCTTGTGTTTTTGCTTTTGTTTACATCGTCTTTTGATGTTTTCTGGCAGACGGACGGCTTTTTCCTCTCGGGCACATGAATCCCGAAATAAAGAAAACATAAAAACAGCAAGCACTTTTCTTTTGATCGTCTAAGTGATCAGCATCATTAGTATGATACGATTCGCTGAGAGGAGAGTGGTGGTGGTGGTAATGCACACTTTGAGATCGATTTCATTACACACACGAAACGAAAAAAATTAAAAACAAACCGACAAAGGAGCAGGCTGTATCGGCATCAGATTATTTTCATCCAACAGATCACTTAGCCAGACGGTTTCGGTAGGTAGTTTGTCAGATTGTCATATATATTTTAACTGTGGTAATGGCTGTGGCTTCTTCATTAATCTCAAAGAGCCGAAATGCCGCAAACACAACGTCAAAAATAAAAAAAAAACGTTCAAAACCAAATCAAGCCATTAACCACCAGCGAACAGAGAGCTGAACAAAATTATTTAAATTTTTTTCTTTTGTTATTAAAATTGTTAATTAATTTTTTTATTATTGTTGTTGGGCTATCAGTAGCATTTTGTTGTTATAAACATCGATATAAACATTTGAATTTCCCGCTTTGTTGTCGTCGTCGTCGTTGTACGAAACGTGCGCGTAATCCCACTCGTCTTGGCTGGCGAACGAACAATGTCGAACTGTTGTGGTTTGTTGATGTGCCTGGTAGTTTTTACTCGCCATGCATTATGTTCAATACAATGTGTTGGCTGCAAACATGTTGTATGACAACCGGCGGTTGTATCAAACCTGTAATGTGTGGTCAATTGCAATGGAGGTTGAGGCGAATGCATTTATTTGTTGTGCCATTATCCGCGCTGTTGGTCGATCTTATTGGATTATCTGTTCTAATGGGGCTATTTTAGATCGCAAAATTTGACTTTTTTGATCAATCCAAAAAATTGTGGAATGAAGTTCTGAACCGGCATTATTGGGGTATACCTTTATACGCAGATTTATATATTAAATGCTTTAATCTATATATATAAAGGAGTAATAAAATAAACGACTGACTGACTGATCTAAAACGAAACGGCTTTACCCTAGAATTATGAAATTTTAACCCGAGGTTCAGTATAGGTGGCCAGGCGTGTGATAAGGCTGGGGTTTTTTGAAAATTGGTACGGAAAGTACTAAAATGAACTACAAATTGGATTTGGAAGTTTGCAATAAGAGTCACTGATGGAGTGCAGAATAGATGTATAACATGTTTATTTTTTTTTAAATTCGTACGAAAAGTACTAAAATGTACTACGAATTGAATTCTTTCTATTGGACAAACGGAAATCTAGAATGAGAGTTACTGATGGAGTGTATGATAGATGTACCAAAAGCTTTTTTGAAAATTCACACCATAAGTGTACCAAAAAATACTAGAATGTACTGCATTTGGTACCATTTCGTATGTTCACAGCTAAAAACTTGAAATTTGGAATGTGAAACAAAGTTAAGGAGTATAGTAGATGTCAGGAGCTGGTGTGTGGGATATGGATATGGAAGAAATTTTTAAAATTTGTAGTTATGTGTACGAAAAGTACTAAATGGTACTAAATTTGGTACAAATTCGAATTGGGTGAACGGATAGAGGTAGAATTCTGAAATTAGGAAATAAGATTACTATTACATTCTAGGACTGAAGACTGTAGGTACTTCTGGAAATTCGTACTAAATGGTACTAAATTAGTTCAATTTCAATTTTGGGAGAACGGGAAGAGTTGTAATCCTGAAATTTGAAAATAAATTTCTATTGGACAGTACGATGTATGTGTATATTGTAAAAAATTGTACTAAATGGTACTAAAGTCGGTACAATTTTGATTTGGATGAACCAATGGAGATGGTATCCTAAAATTTCGATTTAAGATAACTGTCGCAGTGTAGGATTGGGATATATAGATAGTTTTGGAAATATGTACTTATATGTGGTAAAATGTACAAAATATGGTACAATTTGGATTTATGTGAATCGATAGAGCTAGAATCCTGAAATTTGGAATTAAGATTACTGCTTGAATTTAGATTTTTTTGTGTAGGAAATTTTGATAATTCGTACTTATGTGTACTATATGTTCCAAATGTTACTAAAGTTCTAAAATAGTACAATTTGGACATTATTTACCGGGATTATTTCAAATTTCGCATGCGAAGTTCGTAATGGATATTTCAGCCCGAAAATTTTCTGAGCAGGTTCACGTCTTCGTATAGCCCATTGTATAACCCATATAACGGTACCCCCTATATTCGGTATTTTGTTGATTTTAGCTACATTATTAACAGATTTTTCTTCAAGTTTCGCATTTAAAAATTGTAATAACTTATGGCAAAAGGTGCCCATGCAGGTCCACGTCGTCGTATAGGCATTCGGTATTTTTAAGATTTTAACAGAATTTTTAACGGATTTTATTTTTTATTTATTTTTTTTTTTTTGGAAATTGCCAAGTTTTGTACCAAATGGTGGAGGGTATTAAAAGTTCGGCCCGGCCGAACTTACAGCTTTTTTACTTATTATTTTTTACTTACTTACATAGGGACTGATGTAATCCTAATTTCAAATTACAGCCAAATCAGGGTTGAAACTTTCAAAATTCCGAAAATGAGAAGGTACCTCTGTAGGGGAAATATAACGATTTACATCCTCTGAGAACCATTATCATTAAATTACAACTTATTTAGTTGTAGAATAAATTTGAACCCCGTTTTTACTTGTTTTTAATACCAATTATTTTAATGCTCCACATATAGTTATGCGTCCTACATATGTATTTAAACTGCTATACAAATGGATATTGATTTAAGAATTTTATGCCGATAAAGAATGCATACTTTATGGGATCTTTGGCATATATGAATGACAAATTGAATTTACGCTTTATCTCATGGTTGAAAGTATACAAATTTAAGATGTTATAAAAACCCATAGAATTGTTTTTATCACAACTAATATTCAATGTAATATGCCTCGGAAAACACACTTTTGATTTGTACAGGGTGTGGTTCAACTTCCACCCCATCTTTAAATATTATTTTTCACCTGGGTTTTCAAGGCGCAAGCAAGTCTAGCGGAAAAATATAATTGAATCAATCGTTCAAATTGAACAAAAAACACACCTGAATTTCCGGTAAATAATTTCCCATAACCATTAAAAACACACACACACACTTAAACGCCACATGAAATACCCAAAAAATATCCGCTATTCAAAAAGAAAAATATTATCAAAAGAATCGACGTTTAATGATCATCGCACGCACACACACATATAGACATCCTCACCAATGTGACGTTCCCTCGGACTTCCAAAATGAGTAATTACTTTTGTAATTGCTTACCGAGTGTGGGTAAATATTTCCATTATCACACCGCAACGGAAGGTTTGATATCGAACTTTGATAGTCATCGAATGGGTCGACCACACCTCGAATCTTTTTTGCATCTTTGGAGTTGTTTGTTTGTTTGCTTCCTTCGAGAGACGAAATAAAGATGAGACTCCTTCAAACTTCACCCAGTTTTTTGTTTTCATCCTATGCTGGCCGCAGCATAGCAACGACAACAACAACAAGCTTAATGTTTCATGAAACTCCATACAATGCCGATGCTAAAGTGCTAAAATTACAGAGTATCGAGGACAGACCAAAGATCGTTCATACGAAAAAACAAGTAAAAAAGCTGTAAGTTCGGCCGGGCCGAACTTTTAATACCCTCCACCATTTGGTACAAATTTGACAATTTCCAAAAAAATAAATAAATAAATAAAATAAAATCCGTTAAAAATTCAGTTAAAATCTTAAAAATACCGAATGCCTATACGACGACGTGGACCTGCATAGGCAAATTTTGTCATAAGTTATTACAATATTTAAATGCGAAACTTGAAGAAAAATCTGTTTATAATGTCGCTAAAATCGTCAAAATACCGAATATCGGGGGGTACGGTATATGGGGGCTATACGAAGACGTGGACCTACAGGGCCCATTTCCTGTTCTATGCTGCAGCATCTATTACGAACTTCAAATGCCAACTTTGAAACGATTCCGGTAAATAATGTCGCTAAAATCATCAAAATACCGAATATCGGGAGGTACCGTTATATGGGGGCTATATGAGAACTTGGGCCTACATGGCCCATTTAAGAACTTAACCTGTCTACTGACAAAATATACACGTGTGCAAAATTTTAGCCTTCTATCTCAATTTGTTCGAAAGATAGCGTGATTACAACAGACAGACGGACAGACAGACAGACAGACGGACAGACAGACGGACGGGCATGGCTAAATCGTCTTAGAATTGTACGCTGATCAAGAATATATATACTTTGTTGGGTCTGACATGAGTGTTTCGAAGAGTTACAAACGGAATGACAAAATTAATATACCCTCCATAGTATGGTGGAGGATATAAAAAACAGACCAGAAGATGTTTTCCCCTACCCCAAAAACATCAGTGTATCCACAACGCATTATCCAAGCATCCATCCAATCCGCCAGTCATCGATCCAACATAATGTATGTATGTCCGTCCAGCCATTTGTCCCATCATCTTTTGCAGCCATACATCCATCCAGCCATCCATCCGTCCACCGTATGCCGCCATACGATTATGAATGCTCACTCTCATCATAATTGCCGGCATAAGTTCTATGAAGTTGTTTGTTCCTGGTGCCTCGTTCTGCATTGCTGTTGTTGTTGTGGCTAGTTGTGTGTGTGTGGAAGACTGGTTGGCCATAGGGATGGATGGAGGAGTGTATGAATTCGTTTCTCCCTTCATAATTTTTTGGTACGCTGGCTGGCTGGTGGTGGCATTCTTTTTTTTTAATATTTCTTGGGTATGGCTGATGTTGCTGGCGGTTTGGAACGATCTGTATGGAATTGTTTGGTTGGATTTCCGACGATATCTCTCACTACATGAACACAGTTTCTCTAGTTGCATGGCTCTCCACAAAAGCCGGCATATTCTTAATGTTCCGTATTCGTTACGGTATGAATTAGCCGAACGAAGAAAATGTGTGGAAGAATACCAAAAAAAAAAAAAAAAAAAAAAAACAGGCTGAACACAAAGACAGGGTAGATCGGTTCCCCAATGTTGGGCATATTAACACATGTTGTTTTCTGGGCTGGTACTCTACGCAGGGAACTGGTATTGGGCAAGGTGTATTTCATTTGGGAAATGAATGAAATTTGAAGATATCATTAAGAAACTATTTATATTCTTTATCATCGGCAAGTTAGGGTTTTTATTCCGTATTTTTTTTTTCCTGAAATACACAATTAAGAGTTCCCTTCTCTAGGCATAGGTTTCCCTCTACACGGCTTATGATACCAATATTGGGTTATATATTTTAAACATAGCACTTAAAGTGTTAAAATGTCGGGAATAGCATCAAATTGTAGAATAAGTTTAGATTTGTTCGAGTTCGTCACCTTTGGCACGAATTATGGCTTTCAAAGGCCAATAAAACCGTCACATGCTACCCGAATGTTGCTCTGCGGTATTTTGGCCCATTACCGGAAAAGCGCTTGCTTGAGGTGATCGACACTTTAGTAATTTTTAGTGCCAACCTTGCTTTCCAAAATACTCCAGACACAATAGTCCAATGGATTGGTATCCGGAGATTTTGGTGGCCATTTTGCGCTGAAAATGAAGCG